TTTTAATTAAAATAAAATTCATTAATAATCTTTTTTCAATGTAATTATTATTTTTTTTTTTAATATTTAGGGACTTAATTGCTTAAAATAAGAAAGTCCCTTGATTTTTTCTATGACTTTTTCCATTATTTGATTATATTAATCAGTTTATAGATTATAAGAATATATCTAACAGGTTTTAAAAGGTCAAAAGATTTATTAACAAGTTTTAAAATGTCTAATAGTTTATTTGTTTCAAAAGATTGTCCATGTACTTAATCATTTCAATCACTAAAGTCTATTGAATTTTTTTAGACTTTTCCCTATAAAAATATAGACACTTGTTTTGAAACAAAATAAATTATTAAAAAATATAATTTATGAAGGTTTTTAATGTTTAATAGAATATTCAAATATTAATTCAAATTGTCCTTTTTTTTTCTTTTGGATTCTAGAATTTATACAAACGTGGTGGCCATATTCCTTCATGGTTGGCAAAATACACCAGCTATTGAATTTTCAATTACACCCTTCAACTTCGAAATATTACACAAGTTTCCCTATATTTTGCCGGCTTCATGATTTTGAAAGCCAACACCAACATTGTGATAAACGCCCATGTAATAGCTAAACAAAGTTAAATTATTTATTTTAATGATGATATAAATCTTTCATATAAAGTTCAATAAATGGATAAAAACAACTGGATTACACGACAGTTCTGATTTTTATGGAGGCAACGTTACACCTGTGTTAAAACTGTACAACTTCGGAAAAGAGTAATGACCAAAATAAAATATAAAATTTTATATCATATTAAAAATATTACAAATTGAAACAACATTTAAAAAAACAGAAGAGAACATAATATCAAATAGTCTTTTTTATTTTTGATCAACGGATTTAGTTATTGGACGAGGTTTTTGAACAAAACTTCGATAAACGAGAGGTGTAAGCACCACGAGGTGTGAAGCAATCTCGTACTAAACGAAATAACTTTCATTTTCCTTAACCAAAATGAAAGAAAGTCAACATATTCCTGTAATTGCGGACAGTCTCGCTACCTCTTTAGTTATCGCCCCCTACTTGCTCATTCGCAATGACTACCACAAGAAAGTAGCCCCTATCTCTAAAGGGGCGTATGCACTCCGCGACTTTGAAATTAAATAAGCACTTTTGATTTGAAGTAAAATTGTATAGGTTTTTAATAAGGTGGATTCACATGTTGGACTATATAAATCTGGGCTCCAGAAGCAAGTAAAATTGGGCTCCAACGTTTTGGAGACCCTGTTCAAAAATCAATACTTAACATGCTAATAGATGGTCATGTTAGATTACCTCGGCTAAAACTGAAAAATAAGTAAACCTACAGTATAATTTAAATTATCTAACTATTCACAAACAAAATAAATAAACTATATCCGTATCTATGTTTGTTGACTATATTCGGCAAAAAATGTTCAAAAAACAATATATCTATCACTTAAAGTATATGTATTGTTTGTATATATCTCACTGTTGAGTAAAAATACATTGAATTCGTTTTATTTGATTTAATTAATCCAAAAAGGGTTGTAATTAAATGATTCAAATATGTTGTATGTTTTTAGAGTAGTACAAGCAAAATGACTATTTTTAAAAATAAAAACAAGTGGATAATATTCTTTTTTTTTATTAACCTGGATATCCAACTCGCTATGCGAGACGACTAATCATAGGGTGATCACCTGCTTTGCATAGAGCCTGGAGTCATCGCATTTGAACCTCCGTGGCCACAAAAGGATTTTTATTCCTCCTTGGATTTGAACCTGGAACCTCCTGATATTTTTGACCTTTGGAGCCAAGCTCAAACCAATCAGGCACCACCCTTGTGGTTAGTATTCCTTTTCGTTCATCGTAGATTAAATGGTAAATCAAGAGGTCGTTTATCAAATACTTACCGACAAGTGTCATCACCCTCGTTTACCTTGTTGGGTATAATTTATGGCTATTAAAAGGACTTGTTGTCTCTCACCCTTGGTAAGTGCTAGCCGAGCATCCACTCCCTTATTTACCATGTAAGAACTTCGATTGTTACCATGCTTCTGACCGGATAAGGTTATTGATCATTGTCATGTTCACCGGATAAAGTAAGTGACCCGGACAGTGTTTGGTAAAGGACCGCAGAGACTTTTTCGGCTATTTAAGAGGTTGTTTACCAAATGCTTACCAGCAAGTGTCACCACCCTCATTTACCTTGTTGTAGGGGTGCTCATGGATTTAGTTGATTGAGTTGAAGACATTTGAACAACTCAACTTAATGCTTGCAATTTGAAAAATCTCAACTCAATCCAACCTAAACCAAAGTGCTACCCAAATCGTACGGATTGGTGGGGTTGGTACCTGGATACATTAAAATACTTCTCTTAACCTTCAATATGTTATTTCTCAACTCATAATTTCGTTTTCATCATCAATCATTTGATACAACTTATACATACTTCTTAAATCTTACATATATCACATTCAATTAATTTTTTTAATTTACATATATATGTTCACAGTTACTGAACACATATATGAATGAGTTATATAGAGATGGATAATAGATTGAAAATATGTATACATGAAGAGGATACGTGATAGTGTAATTGTCTATTTTACACATTAATAGAAACACAACAATCATATTAAGTCCAACAAATAAAGGATATCATGTTCATCATATTGGGTTGAGTTTAAATAATAGTAACTTAATACCTACAGTTTGAAAATTTTACAACTCGATTAGATATCGGGTTGAGTTATTTTACGTTTGGTTGGGTTAGGTTGATCGGGGTTTTGAACATCCGTACCTTGTTGGGTATCATTTTCGGCTATCAAAATGACCTGTATGTATGTGTCGTCTCTTACCCCTGGTAAGTGTTAATCGAGTGTTCTCTCCATTATTTACCAGGTAAGAACTCCGATATTACCATACTTCTCACCTGGTATGATTATCGATTCCTGCCATGTTCACGAGGTAAGGTAAGTGACCCGACAACGTTCAGTAAACAACCACCAAGACTTTTCCTGTACAGGGACTAATCATGTCAACTTAAAAATCAAAGGACTTAATGGTATGTTGTTAACTAGTCAAAGGACCTTTTTGGTAATTGACTAATTCCTATCCCCCTTCAAGATTTTCAAAGTCAAAGCAGAGTAGAGAAAGGTCAGACATTCACAACCCATTTTTCCTTCAAATTCTTCATCTTCCATCTGGAAATCCAAAGCCATCATCAAAATTCTGTGTTTTGGATCCGTTAATCCATCCCCAATCCGATCTTCATCTTCATCTTCATCTTTTTGTTCTGATTATAATTATGAGTAATCCAACTACGCCGATGAATGCAAACGCTCCGTCATCGAGCTCCGGTGGCGCTGGATCTCCTGATTCAGCTCCAAGGAGAAATTCCAAGCGACCTAAATGTATGTTATCTTTAATCATTGAGGATCTTACTTTTCTTGTACTGGATGTTCGAACTTGATTAGTTATGAATGGTAACAACTCAGATGCAGTCGATTTTTTTACGCTACTTGATTCATTATTAGTACTATGTTAGTTTTGTTGATCTGAAAACATCGGATGAACAGTGTTTAGTCCGGCTGTGGGATATTCAAAATTTCGGATTGATCTAACGCCTATATCTGATTGTTGATGCTAATTGAGCTCGTAAGGATTTAGAAACCCTAAGAGACCAAGAGCAACAAATCAATGGATTGTAGATAAATTTTGGTAGCTTGATCCAGTTTAGGGATAAGAGAGGGCAAAGAGCATAAATATTTTCGTAGGCTGCGTAAAGAGGGAGACAATCTTCACCGTTAGCTCCTTTAATTTGTGTAAATGTTAAACTGATTTAGCATTTGGTATTCGAATGATCCCCTGTTGTAATTGATTGTCCAGGTTGTTTTTTTTTGGGCTAAGACCTTTTGTTTGTGTCTGGTATTCGGATGATCTCCTGTTTGGTTGGTTTTTCATCAAGTATTATATGGATAAAGCTAACTGTGTGGATTAATCTGTATGCATAGATTGGGAGGGTTTTTTTTTTTCTTTCATAAAGCTCCCCTTAGAAGCTTACCCAATAAGCCACTTCCTATATTATTAAGCTATTACCACACAATGATGTATAGCTGACCAAATAGGCTGTGAGTCCCTTTAAGCTCATAAAACTGTTAACGAATATGCCCTTACTCAGGTGCACTTACTAATTTCCTTTTTTATATATTTCCTTTTAGATTCTAGGTTTACTCAGCAGGAACTTCCCGCATGCAAGCCGATTCTTACACCGAAATGGGTAAGTATCTTTGTTTTCCTCCATGCTTCTTATTCGTCAAGCTATACGAAACAACAAACTTCAATTCTCGTTTATCTTTTATACTGCAGGTGATTTCAGCATTCATGCTTGTGACCATTGTCTTCATACCAATTGGACTTGCTTCCCTCTTTGCTTCTCGTGATGTATGATTAAAACTGTTTTGACTTCATGAGCATTTCCTTTTCTTGCTTGTATTGGTTCTTGATTTTGGATTTGTGTTTGTTCAAGCAGGTAGTCGAAATTATTGACCGGTACGATAATGCCTGCTTAACAGGCTCAAAAAGTGACAAGGTCCAATCTATACAATCCGTTTCAACAAATAAAACCTGCTTTAGAAGTTTGACAGTAAGTTCAAATTAATTACTTTCTGGATCATTTCTGCATGATTACAGATGAATGCAATTGATATATATATATATATATATATAATTTTTTTTGCTATGAGAGCCAAGATTTAATTCAATATCAGATCATATGATAACATTCTCACAAATGAATGAATTTTAGGTCAGAAAGCGTATGAAGCAGCCAATTTATGTCTATTATCAGCTGGATAATTTCTACCAGAATCATCGCAGGTAACTTTTCATTTCTGTCTTGTATCTTAGTTGCATGAAAATAGAAATTTCTTTGATGATAAACCAATGTTACATATGGACTTTTACCTTGGAATGTATCCTTGGTAAAACACACCCAAATTTTTTTTTCCTGTTAAACTCACACTCCCTCCTCACCTTTGTTGAGGTTAGAACCCCTGACCTCCTTGGAGGCCAAAGGCTCCGTACCACTAGGCCAAAGGCCCTTTGGTCACACCCGAATTCTTCTCGACTCTCATGAAGGCAGTAATGCTCAGATAAAGGTGTATTACTTTTCCACCTGATATTGTGGAAGGGCAGGGAATTTTTTCCCCTACTGCCTCCTGGTGCAAGTGTTTTTATCCTCTCTCTTTTTCCTTCGCTTGTTAAAGCTAATAATACCCTCTAAATCTAAGACTAAGTACACATGACGTACTTTTGCAGGTATGTCAAGAGCCGAAGTGATTCGCAATTGAGAAACCGTGGTGATGAGAATCAAACAAGTGACTGTAAGCCTGAAAATGATGTCAATGGGATGGCCATTGTGCCTTGTGGCCTTGTAGCCTGGAGTTTGTTTAATGACACCTATAGCTTCTCCACTGGTAGCAACCAGCAGTTGCAAGTAAACAAGAGACATATCTCATGGAAGAGTGACAGGGAGGACAAGTTTGGCAGTGATGTCTTCCCGAAAAATTTCCAGAATGGATCCCTTATTGGTGGTGGACGTCTCAACGAGTCTCAGCCAGTAAGTCTCATAACAGTTGTTAGAATTTACAAGGATGCTAGTGATGTTCTTGCCACACTATGTCCTCACATATTACTTTCAGTTGGTTTATGAGCATTGGACCCTCCAACCCCCGGGGGGGGGGGGGGGGTGTAAGACAAGGTGCATGAGAATCACATACAGTATGGTTGCAATTGTTCTTGTAGTTCTCTTTCCTGTCCCATAGTGTCCAATATCTTCGTTCCATTGTTTGTTTGTGCTTGAAATAAGTAAAAGTACCTAATCAAAAACTTTATTTTGTGGGTTTGGTGTACATCAATAGTTAAGTGAGCAGGAAGACCTCATCGTATGGATGCGAACTGCGGCTCTTCCAACTTTTAGGAAGTTGTACGGGAAGATAGAGGTGGATATCGAGGCAGGTGAGACGATAAATGTGATAGTGGGGAACCACTACAACACTTATAGCTTCAGCGGCAAGAAGAAACTTGTGCTTTCAACTACCAGTTGGCTTGGCGGAAAGAATAACTTTATTGGCATTGCGTATCTTGCTGTTGGTGGCTTGTGCCTCTTATTAGCTACAACATTCACCCTCATATATCTAGTTAAGCCAAGGTAATATTATGCTGCTTGCACTTAACAACTCTTATAACCTTGTTCTTTTCCTAGATTTTGTCTATATGATCGGAACCTTTCTGGTTGTCTCCGGTACCCTAACTTTTGAGTAATGTTGGAGATAGACATTGTTGTCTTGTGCATACCCGAATCGTGATGAATTCAGTAGCAAATACTCTCCTACAATCACCTTGAATCATAAAATATCATATTTTAGGCATTAAATGATGAACTATTTGCTGTTATTTTTATTGCAGGCATCTTGGAGATCCGACTTATTTGTCATGGAACCGAAACCCAGGTGGTCACTGATGTGCAACTGTGAGGTGGGTCGAAGGGCTTCTGATCTTGTATGTATTTAATCTCTTCTAAGGCCATATTATGTAGATCGAGTAGAATTGTTCATTGGTTGTTTGCAATTTTATTTGTCGACAAGACTTTAAAGTAGACATCTGTATTATTGAGCACAGGGTGAAAGTTACGTTCACCCGTCTCTTGAATGTGCTATACCCTTCACGAAACATGTATTGATATTATTGAGTATAGAATGAACGTTGTTGTTTTCCTTTTCTTGAATGTTTTGTTACGCCATGGATTTTGTCGCTGCAGATGGCCACCCCGCCACCCCCATCTTAGGAGCTGCAGATGGCGGTGAAACCATCTGGATAGTTTCAGGTTGGTTTGATGGTATCAATGGATCTTTACGACCCTTATATTGAAATTTTAAACCTTTTCAGAGTTAGCAATTTATTAGTTTGCAAAATGTCTAAAAAGAACATAACATTTATACTTCTCACAAGAGTCACTGTTCACAACTTCCATTACATTTATTTCAAAGACATAGTAATAGAGTATATATGTACTCTAAACCCCAAATCATATTTTTGAGATATGAATATATATTCTATCTCTATTTCACTTTGTTACTTACAAAAAGTTATCTCTAATCATGTAAATGGAACTCCCAATTAGAAGTAGATGAAATGGCACCCATCATAACCTGTTAGCAGAAATCAAGATTATTATTAGTCAAGAAACTCAAATGGAGGAAGCCAAGTAGCAATTGACGGGCTTACTTGGATCAACGGTGACAAGCATGGCGGAGCCGCCAAATTCACAGGTACCTCCAGCCACTTTTGTTCTTTGCCAGTAACTATTGAATGCATAAGAAGCATGTGCAAACAATGTGTCGGGCTGATAGCAGTCTCCATTTGGCTGCAGTGATTCACAGTCGGCTCCAGAACCGCAAGCATAGTTCATGGCTTCTTGAATGATCGGATCTGGAACTGAAGGTTTTGCCACACACCATAGTGCAGACTCTGGCTCACTATGAGCAGGTGGTGGTCCTGTCGGAGGAGGGTACACAACTGGTGGTTCAAAGAGAGGTGGGGCAGGTATGAACCCTGTAGGAGAAGGAAATGAGAATGTTGGTGGGCTGGGTTCAAAATTATAAGGAGGGCTCATAACAGGGCTGGGTTGATAGGTGGCGGGTGAGCCTGGGGTGGTAGTAGTGGGTGGCGTGGAAGGAGTAGAATAAGAGAAAGGTGGCGTAGGATAGGAGGAAGAAGAAGATGATGCTGGCGGTGATGGTGATGGGGTGTAAGATCCAATAGTGGGTGATACTGATACTGGTGGACTGGTGGTGGTAGGCGGAGAAAAGGCAGGCGATGCTGGTGGCGGCAGACTGGTGGTAGAAGGCGGAGAAAAGCCAGGTGATGTCGGTGTCGGCAGACTGGTGGTGGAAGGCGGAGAAGAACCAGGTGGATAGGAGCAATAAGCCTCGGGTAAAACAGGAGAAAGAGGATCAACAGGAGGCAAAGGGAAATCATCCGCTAGACGATTTACAACGTGATATCTCGACGATAACGTCAATGCTCCTGGTAATCTTGCATCTGCACATATACATATACAACACAATCAGTATCATCCTCCAAAATGGGTGATTTTAAATAAACCCCCTTTTAGATGCTATTTGAACCCCGTACAGATAATATCAAATTTCTCTGTTTACATTTCCAAAGCTCGGAAACCGATCCAAAGGGGGTTCAAATAGCATCACCCTTGAAAAAGATAATGGTATATAAAGTACGTGCATGATGGCGTGATGGAAGAAACGATGAATGCATAGAGAAACAATGACAACATCCAGTTCATCTTCATGTTCATCGATGTCATCTGCATATGTATATCATACGTGTATGTGTATGTGTGTGTGTGTATATATATGTAGGTCAGAGAACGATTGTGAGACGGAGTTTGTGCATGTGACCACCGGCTTTCGATACTTGGGAGATGGTGATGGAGATGGGTATGTAAGAGATTCTTGGCTTAAGAATGGATAAAAGCACCCTTACAATGAATTGACATGAAATGGAAAGTGGTTTGGAGCTTTTATTTTGCTTGCTTTCTACTCAAAGCTATGAAACAGTGTCCCGGTAGTAGAACTAGTATATATCTGGTTAAAGTCTATTACACCACCTGAAATAGTTTTGGAATCTATATAGGATTGGCTCATGTGGACCAACATGTTTTCGTGAGCCATTTTTTTACACTTGAAACTTCACAAAAAAACTCTGTGAAGGTAAAAAAAGCCGAACCTTCACAACAAAAACACTACGAAGGTTACATTCACAACGTTTTGCTGTGAAGTTTTAAGTGTAAAAAGTGGTCTCATGTGTTTCACAAAAACATGCTAGTCTCACGTGATCCCAAATCTCTCTCTCTCTCTCTCTCTCTATATATATATATATATATATATATATAGGTGGAGGTTCAAACGAGAACCCCTGTGATTTACGAAAACGCGAGAACAACTYAATAAMCACAAACTTTTTTAATTAATAAATTAACTTTTATTATATATAAATAATTTAAAAAGGGCAGTATTGTAATTAAGTAATTTTTATAATTTTTATTTTATTTTAAT